AGGGCATCTGAACATTCTTGGCGCTTCGATCTGGCATCATCTCCTTGACTTTCAGTCTTGGCACGTCGAAACCACTCCAGTGTCATGTTGATCAGGATCTAGATTGCAGGGATCGGTCTCATTCTCCTGTCGCTCTCATTCTCCGGTCCCGACAACACCGACCCACGACCACAACACCGACCCATCCTCAAAGACCTCACAACGAACCCCTGAAAGGCACCAACTCCCAAAAACCCAATGTTTTGCTCAGATCTATCCAAGGTCCGAGCTTTCGCGGAGAGATCCAACTCCGCAGTGCCTAGCAGGGCCTAGCAGGGCCTAGCAGGGCCTAGCAGCCTAGCAGCCTAGCAGCCCCGTGACCAACTGGAATGTCATTTTCAAGCCTTGTCAAGGTGTCGCCTCAGGGTGTTGCCCGTGCCACGCGGCGCCGAAGCCTGTGACACGTGGCGCTCAGAGATATCGAAGCAGAGAGATTGTTTCTTGGTTAATTGGCAGCTTGGCAGCCAGAAGACCTGAAAAGTAGGCGGTTTTCCTACCGAGGGCTCAAAAGTGCAAGGTCCTGTCGTTCCAAAAACTTGAGCAATCCGAGTATTGATGAAACGACCTCTGTAGAAAACAGCTGGGAGCCACGGTTCTTGGGACCACCCTGTTGGTATTAAACCTTCCACCAACTGTACACTGGTTTTTTCACACATACGAGCCTTGATCTTGTGCCCAACAGATGGCGAGATTCTGTCATTGTGTGGAATCTGCTGGCACGAACACCACTCTGTAAGCTGTGGCTTACCTGAACCCCCGGTGTTTAACTGAGTATTAAATGCCAGGCAAACGGTGCGTGAGCTTTCAAACCAGTTGGTCAAGCACCGATTCATCAACTTCAATACAAAAAGACCAAGAGTCTGTGGCTATCAATCGCACCCAGCTTGTTTCAGCCGGGGAAGCACTATTGACCCTGCAACAACGTCCTAGCAACAGCACAAGTCAGACTTTCATGAGGTTGCCTCTAATGAATCCACTGCACAACACCAACAGAAAACCCCTTGGGCATGGGCTTCAAGAGTGCAGAAACAGTGTCTTTGGTGAGCTGAATGCACATCAACGTATCGTCTCCCTCCAACATCAAGTGTCCTCTCCGTTGCAACTGTGGTCCCTCACCACGGGAGCCAAGCTGAAAAGTGTTTCCAACACATCGACATGCAGCCCATCTCGGAACTCTTGCACATAAGCACGGTCAAGGCACTGGCACGAGCCTGGCTGACAAAGGTCGAGCAGGCAGCGGCGGCAGAATGTCTGCCAGCGACCGGTGCAGCCATGTGGAACATTACGGGCGCCCAAGGCTAACATAGCTTGTGTAATTGGTGGCACCGATTACAAGTGAGGTGGTTGATGCCAGATTCAGTCAGCAGACTCGTAAGCATGGTTCGTCGGGCTCAAACTGCAGGGCTGATGAACCTGCCTTCAAAAGCTCATGTTGCATGGACTCATACTCGATTGCACTCAACTCCGATTCGACGGGGTGGGGGTTGATCTTTACTTCTGGCAGTTAGGCCGTCAGGACATTCGTGCAAAAATCAGCCAGCTGCGTGTGAATGCTCAAACAGGCCTTGGAAGATTTCAATGCTATCCGTCTAGGAGCATGTTGTGAATGAGTTCAAACAGCACCGGCTTGCCTGAACCTATTCGTATTACTTACGCAGGCCAGAAACAGGCTGCAGTGACCTTCCGACCAGCTAGTTAAGCATGGTTTCATCAACTTCAATACAAAGGGATGGAGAGTCTGTGGCTATCAATCGCATCCAGCTTGTTTCAGCCAGAGAAGCACAATTGACCATGGGAAAACGTCCTAGCAACAGCACAAGTCAGACTTTCATGAGGTTGCCTCAAATGAACCACTGCACAACGCCAACAGAAAGCCCCTTCGGCATGGGCTTAAGAGTGCAGAAACAGTGTCTTTGGTGAGCTGAATGCACATCAATGTATCGTCTCCGTCTAGCATCAAGTGTCCTCTCCGTTGCAACTGTGGTCCCTCACCACGGGAGCCAAGCTGAAAAGTTTTTCCAACACATCGACATGCAGTACAACTTGGGCAATACCAGGGCATGGCCTTGCCACTAGTAGCGATGCCCTTGTTACTCGTGGCTTCTTGCTACTAGTAGCAATGCCCTTGTTACTAGTAGTGACGCACTTAGCTACTTGGGCAATACCAGGGCATGGCCTTGCTGGCAGAAGAATGTCATGGATCAACGGCGAGCGCAGACATAGCGTGCACGCTCGGGGGGCACTATTCAGAAGTGTGGAAGGGCCTCCTGCTTTGTCCAAAGACTCTTACACATTGCTGGTCAGGCTCAAACTGGAGGGCTGGTAAAGATGAAACCTTCAATAGCAGCATGATTCACTGCATTCAGCTACCCTTGACCAGGGAAGGGAACATCACTGCGAGCGGTCAGACCATCCTGACGTTCACAAAGCTCCTTGAAACAGCCAAAGTGACAGATTTGAATGCTACCCGCCTAGGAGTGGTGTTGCGAATGTGTCCAAACAGCACACAAGCTTGCCTGAACCAATTCGACTACATACAGCCAGCCATGCATGATCTGTGCGACCAGTTCGTCAGGCATTGTCCTGTTTTACAGCGATGGTGAGCCTGACATGACATGACAATGGCATCTGGCTTCTTTCAGCTTCGCGCAGCTTTTACACACCCAAAGTCCAGTTCCAACGTGTTGGAGCTTCCAGTTCTGTTCGCATAAAGGCCTGCCGCCCTGTCCGGAACTGGCACGGAAGAGTGCATCAACGCTCAAGGAAAGAGATCGACGCACTGAAACTGCCTCGCAGGAAAGTTTTTCAAGCGTGAAGTAGTTGAGATGCTTGAGATGCAAAGTTGATAGATCAGTTCGCTTCAAGCTGTCCACGTAGCTCTTCGTTTCACTGTCCGCTTGGAATTCGGCCAAATGCGGCCAACCAGCTGGTGGCTTTGGGAAACCGCTTAGGCCAACCGCTGCGTTCGGCCTTCGGAGCTCCACACCGAGGCAGCTGCCTTTGGACGCTCGTGCTTCGGGCCCTCCACCGAGCAAGGCGAGGCGCTGGATCGAGGTCGACCGGACCACACCCGAACCCGGTCGCAAAGGCTGAGGGTGTCAACCTTCAAAACCCATTCATCCAAACCATTCATCCAAGTCCTTTAGCCACAGACCACGAGGCAACGTTCGCAAGGTCGGATGAGAAGCACCAATCTGAATCTCTATGGTGTCTGATGTGTCTTGTGCGTGCGAGGAGCGTGCATGTCATATGTCCTATCTCTCGACTGGCATCTGGGGTCATTGTATCAATGTCTCAAACCCTGTGGGGAAAAGTCAGTCTCTGCAACTTGACACTTGAGAAGCAAAAGTGAAACACGGGTTCCTTGCGGGCATACCGCTGTTGCAAAGGATCTAAGTTTCGGGTTGAAAGCTTGTGGATTGCACTAGGAAGTTCATGTTTGCAGGAGTGCGTGACAATTTCCTGCTTGCGCATGTGTGAGTGTGTCTCTGCTTCAATTCTTGTGGCATGAATTGCTGCAAGTTGCGCCTCAGTGTCGCTCGACAACTCTGTATGGCAAGAAGGTCGCACCAAGCAGGTGAAGAGGCCGGAATTGGGCGACGGAGACATCGACCACTTCCAACTCAAGCGATTTCTTTGTTCAATGTCCAACTCAATGGATCATTTTACAAGGCATAGTCATAGTCTTCTGCTCGTGTCTTCTTTGCTTTTGGACGGCCCTGCCAACCGAGCACTTTGCAACTCAGCACCGAGAACGTACACCGTGTGGAACGGAACTCCGACCGCACCGGTGGCCCGGCGCCGGAGCTCGAAGACGAAGGCCGTGTCGGTCTCGTTGACACATGTGGCAGTCAGTCTCAAGAAAGCGTCTGGCAGATGTCCCTCACAGGAACCCCATCCAGCTGGATTTGGATGGCGCTGGTGGCTGGTTTTCAACAACTCGGCTTTGGGCTTCACAAGCCTTTCTTGAAATACAGGGGCAAAGAACGAGCAGCAGAGCTACACCCACCGGGTCCTCCCGTTGGAATGAGATGACGATGGGATCCCGCTTTGCATACTTGAGCTCTATGTGTCATTAAATGCACAAATGGTGTGCCAACATGCGAGGGACCAGGCACGTATCTCCTCATTTGCCTCAATATATGTTCGGCCTCACACATGCTAAAAGGAAATTCTTTTTGGATGTTTGATTGGCCAGACCTACATACCTTCCAGGTTGCAAGTCATCCTTTCCACCAAGATTGGCTTGACAACTTGATCACCTTCATCTCCATGTCTTAGCACAGCCTTATGAGATTCTTTTGTGATCTGTAAATAATTCAGTTCATGCTGAAGGCTTTCGCCATTCGCCTCAAGCATCGACCCCTTCGAAAGAGAGTCTAAAGAAACCACTTCGTTCAAGTTCAGGCCAAGCTTAAAACCGATGCAACGAAAGAGAATCTCAATCGTCAACCGTTGCACCTTTGCAAGACCTCATGGCGGCTATCAATCATCGAGCTTCGCTATCTTTGCTCAAAACTCGTAAAACGCACCCTTGTTCTCAACCTTGGTGGAGCCAAAACAGCTACTGTAGATTCTGTAGATGTTGTGACACTTCTTCAAAACAACTGTGTTCCTACAAGTGGTGCAACCAGCTAATATAGTAGTCTGCAAAAGCCAAAGTCTTAAAGCAGTCTCCTGCGCCCAAACCAACAGCTTGACAACCTGGAACAGCTTGACTGGCTGTGTGGATCAAACCAACTGGAAAACATGGATTTCGGATGATTTCGGCCTCTACTCTGTCGAGCTCTACAATGCTCTGCACTCTTTTGTGCTCAGTCGAGCTGACTCTTTCACAGGAGGGGCATGGGAGAGTGGATGCTCGGCGACTTCGCCTTGGAGCAGAATGGCCCACAACCGCAGCATGTGGCATGTGACCCAACTCGTCGAGGCCTCCAAAGAACTAAAAAAAGAAAACGACCAAAAAGGATTCCAGCATGGACCCAACGACCAAAAGTAGAAAAATGAAGCAGAAAGGAACATCGGCCTTTTCTTGGCGCCTTCGAGGCGCAGGTCAGTCTAGCTAAGCTCTTGTGCTGAACGAAAGACACTGGCTTACGTCGTCTCATCACACCAACTTCACCTTCATTTCCTATGCAAACGGAGTCGGCCCAACACAGCGAGAGACCTCCGGGGAAACAACACATACCACGAATAGCAGCCAACCCAAACAAAGCCAGCCGGAACTGGAGATGCCGCACAAAAGGCTATCCGAGCAATCCAGCGACAAGCAGAGACCAGCGGAGAAACTCTACGACCAGCAAAGCCGTTTTTGATACAAGTGAGGGGTTCCCTCACAGGTCAACCTGTTTGGGAAAAAGAAGCGCCCTGGAACCCTGGAATCAACTGGTCTGATTGGTCTCAGGTTTGTGCCTGATTGATCCCAAATTTGGTCTTCGACATCCTTGGCACATCCTTGGAAACTTCACGGTCTCCGTGGTCTCGCAGATTGGGAGGGCTCCACTTGTGCCCAACCCGTTGGAACTGCCAGGCCGTGCCACTCGATGCAAGTCGGACGGTAGCGCGCGAGGGAGGCGAGCCGCCCGACAACTTCTGGCCCTGCCGGACAGTCCAGTCGAGTCAATGAGCCTCACAACATCACACAGTTCGATCCAACAAATCGCCCGAAATCGGCCCTAACTGTCCAAGAGACATACATCAGGCCCTCCGCGGGAAAGAAGGGGAACTCCACCAGGGCCTTTTCTTCCACCTCCGAAATCGATCAAGGCAACCGTGCGAAAACGAACCTCAGTTGGAATGGATTCGAACATTCGAAGCACCAAAATGCACCAAATATTATCACATGCCAGCTGGCCATGTTCTGAGGGCCATTGTAAGGACTACGACCCATTCCCATTCCAAGCCACTACACTGTACTCCTGTTAAGAGCGATGACCTCCAACCTACCAGTGATGGCCTCCAACCTAAGAGCGGTGGCCTCCAACCTACCAGTGATGGCCTCCAACCTCAGAGCGATGGCCTCCAACCTACTAGCGATGGCCTCAACCTAAGAGCGATGGCCTCTAACCTACTAGCGATGGCCTCCAACCTAAGAGCGGTGGCCTCCAACCTA